TGTTTAATATAAAAGTTATAGAACCTGATACAACATATAATTATGGATGCTCTTGTGAAGATAATTGCAAAGTTATTATTATTAATAATCATTATTTTAATTTTGTTTTTATATAATTAATGATTATTTTTATTATACTAATTAGAATAATTGTGCATGTATTGATGATCATATGGAAGGTAATTAATTAATTATGATAATGTTAGTTAACTATATTAATAGTAATAATAATAATATCATTGAATTCAGGAGGATATCCTTATCAAAACAAAAGATTGATTCATTCTGATGTGGGAATCTTGTATGAATGTAATTCCAAATGTAGTTGTAATTCAAATTGCAGGAATAGAATCATTCAAAATAGTCCAAAATTAAACAGAACTTTACAGGTAATGATAAATGATTGATCAATTGATTTATTGATGAATAAATAAGTGACTAACTAATTAAATCAACGACCAGCTAATATCACTTTGCTTACATTGATTTTTCAATGATGATGATGAATGATATAGATATTCAAAACCAATAATAAAGGATGGGGAGTTCAAACACTTGAAAATATTAAAAGAGGAGGATTTGTTACAGAACATATGGGAGAAGTGATTGATTCAAAAACAGCATTAACAAGAACAATTTGCTACAACAAATTACATATAATGCCATTTTTTGACCTTGATTATGGTTTTACAGCAGCTGATTCAATTAATTGCTTGAGGTAATAATATTAATTAATATATTTATTTTTTAATGATTGAGTTGATTTTACTAAACTACTAAATATATATATATATATTATTTCTAATATGTGATATACTACTACTAATAATAATGATGACAATGATAATAATAATAGTATTGATACAAATTATTACTGTAATATTAGCAGATTCCTAAATCATTCATGTAATCCCAATCTAATCACCATACCAGTAAGATATATATATATCTATAATTTATTTATAGATAAATTGAATCTTTATCATAATAAATTAGTTACCCTTGTTATTGTTATCATTGTCATTAGTTCTTTGTTGAAAATCGAGACTTAAAAAGCCAAAGGATTGCATTTTTTGCAGTACGTGATATAGACAAAATGGAGGAACTAACAATAGATTACAAGAT